GAACCGCTCCCAGCCCACCAGAGACGGCATGCTCCACACAATAAGCATGGCAGCACTCTGCCCCTGCAAGCCTCCGCCCCATCTGCGAAACAGAAAAGCCCTTGGCATCGGACAGGACCAGCAAGCCGGCAGGATGCAGCCGACAATCACGCAAGGTGGAGGCGGGTGGGATGGGAGTCCCAGGCTCCCCAAGGACGAGGCACTGAAGTCCCCACTTAACTGGCGTTAAGGGGACGTGCTCCTGTGCGTCCGACTGCCGGGACTTCCCTTCCCAGGTGGCCAAGAGCGGAGCTGGAGCTCGCAAGCCCCCCGAGTTGGAAAGCATTGCTGGCACTGCAAGAGGTTTCCAATGTGATCTTCCACTGGTGCTGACCTGGGGGAGCAGCTCTTCGCAGCGTGGCTGCGGCCCTGGGGGCCAGCTCCCTGCAGAGGCTGCAAGAGCGCACGCGCAAAGGCGCCTCGGCTGCGTCTCAAAAAGACAAAGCAAACCTGAGTTAATGGCAGCTCCCGACAGTCACAACTGGGACAACTGGAGCTGGGGGCAGCAGCGTGACGCACAGGCTCGGCGCATCCCACTCGGAGCCCCAACCGCGCAGGCTCCTCCTCATGCCCCCGTCCATGGGGATCCCCAGGGGATCGAAAAGGGGAGCAAAGGCGGGGGAAGGTGCCAAGAGTCTCGTCACGATCTTCAGCTCCTGCATGCTGCAGGGCTTCGCCCACACACGGCCTGAAGGAGCCCGGCTCTTCTTACCCGTCTCCATGACAGCTCCAGGAATACGCCGCCAGCGCGCGCCACTTGCCCCTGCCACAGAGCCAGGCACCCCACAAGCCCCAACATCAGACAGGTCAAGGGAGGTTTTGGCAGCAGGAGCCAAAGCTTTTCCCCCCCTGGCCCCTCCACCATCCCAGCCTGCTCTCCTCAGTTCTTCATCTCCAAGTCTCCTTCCACGCTGAGGGAGGTTTTGGCAGCAGGAGCCAAAGCTTTTCCCCCCCTGGCCCCTCCACCATCCCAGCCTGCTCTCCTCAGTTCTTCATCTCCAAGTCTCCTTCCACGCTCGGGGGCCCCTCCCCCACCCCAGCCTGCTCTCCTCAGTTCTTCATCTCCAAGTCTCCTTCCACGCTGCCCGGCTGCAAACGCTACTGGCTCCCATCACCCCGTCTCTCCCGCACTGTCCGGGGTGCACCGCTGCACCCCGCTGCCCACCCACCTCCTGGGCACCA